GAGTCTAAGCAGGCAACAAGGAAGTGGAGTAGACCTGATGACTAAGACCTATCTACAGTATAGGTACCTGTGGATGATCCTAAGAGACCAAGTCTGAAGAGACAGTCCCGGGCAGAGTAGGCCTTATATTTATACCTCTGTGGTGGAACCTGCTAGAACATCTTGCTTACTCAGCCTAGTCAGGTGATCAGGTCATATGACCAAGGATGAGGTCATATGAGGTCATGCACAGCCATGCACAGCAGGTCACCTGACCATCCAATCCTTCCAGCAGGTTCCAGCACATGCCATGGTATACCAGCTACTTCCATGTCATAAAGGCTTAGTCATGTCTCTTGACCAAGCAATGAGCTGGTGCCCTGACAGGGCGTAACCATGAAAGGTGCCCACATAGAATTGTAGATTCAGTGATTTTGCCTTTGCACTGAGTTGACTCCGAGCCACAGTGCCGCTGTGATTGCATCCAATATTGTAACCCACAGCAAGTCCTTCTCCATATACACTCATCAAGTAATCTAAGCATGCAAGAGGGTATTTGGATCTACATTGAAGCAATGAGCAATGAGACAATGCACAGAGAACATTGACCCACTGTTCACTGCTCAAGATCATGTCAGCAGAGAGAAGAATCATACCATGTTGGCAGGAACAGAGGAAGTTGCTGGTCTTGTACATGCCATCCATCCAATGCAACAAACTGTTGTTTGCTCTTGTCATCTTCCATTTCTCCGTACATGGAAGGAGGTCAGCAGTGAGCAGTGAAGCACTGCTAGTTGAAGGTACTCTGCCAACAGAGGCACTGCTTGGCATCTGCAGGAGGTCAGTGTCGCACTGAAAGTCTGGGATTGTTTGTACCACTTGCTGCCCTCAGTGCAGGACCTCATCTGCAAATGTGTCAACAATGTCCTCCAGAATGACATAGTTGCTCGCAAATTGACATTGATCTTGTGCACTGGCTTGAGCAAAATGCTTGCTAGAGTTGTTTCCATCCATGCTGACCAACTTGTGGTGGGGAAGTATGGGTTTGTCTTGAAGCTAAGCCTGAATATTGTGAGGAAGGAGCATTGCAGCAATGCAACAGTGCTGCTCACCCAATATTTGCAGGCTGAACAAGAGTTCAAGAGACACCAATTTGGAGTATTGTGCCGAAAAGCTTTCTTCACCAATGCAGCAATGTGCATTGTCATTGCCACCCATGCATCGTAAGCTTCTGTAATTTGAATGTGAAGATAGCGATGATATGGAAGCTAGCCAACATTGTCAGCACTAGGACAATGTAGCATTGTTATGACATACACCATGGATATTGCACATGACATGGGCCCATGCCTCATGAGATATGAAAGCCCACAAGTGACAGTGGTGAAGAACTTGCATGATAGGTAGAGCTATGGCAAGCTTCAGGAACATGGGAGAGCAAGGCATGTACCTGTTCTGCATGAGTGGTTCCAGCAAATTGTTGCCATTTGATTGACAAGAAAAGCTTTGCACAGAGACTCCTATGCCAGGGTGTGATTAGAACAATGGACATTGCTCATTGCTGCATTGTGTACATACCATCCCAATTGAGTACCTGAACTGCTGCAGTGCTGGCATTTCGGCCATCCATCAGTGTACCGTCTACCTTCCCATGGCACCAACAGAGGAAGGCATGAGCAAGGCCCAGAATCTCAGCTGTCCACTGAATGGCATTCCTCATCAATCGCTTCATGTGTCAGCCCTCTCCATTTGCATGTTGTGGGCAGGTGTGATGTGATCTATAGATATGTCAATACTCATGGGAGATAGCGAGCATTGTCGCATTGCTCACTGGCTGTGTCTGAATTGCTGACAGGTCTACATTGCTGATCTCTCTCTCCTTGAACATGTGCTGCAATGCTGCAATGCCTTGCAGTGCCCCAGCTGGCCAAACAGATCGAGCGCATAAGCCTTGCAGGTTGCTGGGTTTGGTCAAGGCCTTATACATGGCTATATGAGCACCATGAGACAAAGTGCTGTCTGTATGCTTTGCTTGGAGCCATCCCATCCAAGTCATTTGTGCCCTTGAATGGTTGCCTTGGCTGCCAGAGACCCCAGATGCAGACATTGCTGTGAGGAGACCAGACAGGAGCAGACAGTGTTCAGTGAAGCAGTGAGCAATGTGCAGTGAGCAATGTCAAGAAGCTGCTACCTGACCTGTGTACCCTGAGAAGCACAAACAATCAATGACAAAATCATCACGTCATGACATGGTAACCTCTGGAATAGCCGGTACACTCAGGGTCCAAATGCTGGGATGCGGCTGGAACAGACTTTGACACGGAAAACCCGCTCCCTAGCCCCTGGACCACGGACCGATCCCGTGGCTAATTTGTGCCCGGGACCGCGAGTTAGTACTGGCACCGTCTACAATGGGGCACGTCCGACTGTACTGCCTACTGCTTGAGACACTGCTTTCCTCGTAAAGAATCTATTGACCCGAGGGAGTGTCAAGGGGACTCTCCGGCGAAGACAGTACTGGATTGGGAAGACTATTGCCCATAATTAATAGCTTAAGGACAGCCAGCCGATCAACGGTTTGCCGATACTGAAAAGGCTGATTCGACGGTTTTCAGTTTTCTTACCTGTGGCCGAGGACTCCCCAGGATACGACTAAGCCTTCATTCATTCGGTTACGGTAATTCACTACAGGAGCAGATGGATACTCCGATGGATGACTATTACCTCTGCGCGACTTCATGGAGTCTATATAAGGACCGCCAGTGTGTAATCGTGGTTTCGCACTCAACAGGCAAAGGTGCAGGTTCACCTAGACACTTCAAATCCCACTCCACGTCTTCTCTCTTCACGACTACCTGCTGGTCAGGAATCCACGACTTTACGACCACTACTATATACCTTCATAAACAACGCTCGATTAATTTCCAACATTCGAATTCTACCTGAACATCGCTATGCAGATCACTTCCGTCGTCGTTCTCGCTGCCCTTGCAGCCAGCATCGCGGCCATCCCCGTCACCAATGCTCCCAACGGGCTTCCCGCCGAAGCAGGTGTACCCTGTGGGTGCGAGACGACCGGTCAATCCTCCACAGCCAGCAATAGGCTCTTGTTTTTGGAGGGTGAGAGAGTCGGCGAGCAAGTGATGCAGAATAAGATCAACAAAGGTGTACGCGCACATTCCGGTGACCTGGAGAGGGCCGAGATGTTGGCGTCCGATCGTCTGCACGAAATCGAGGACTTGGAAAGATACCGTGTTCATCGGTACCACGGCCATCATCACAGGCACCACGGCCACCACCACGACTACGACCACCACCACCGCCGTCACCATGGGCAGTTCCGGCGTTTCAGATACCATCAAGGAGATGCACGCCGTCGGCTGAGGTTCAAGCACTGGATGCTGGAACCCACCCCTACGCAGGACGTAGCATCAGCGTCTCCTGCACCCAAATCGGCGCCCACATCCAACACTCAAGGCAACGCTGGTATCGAAGTTGTGGTGAACAATATTGTGAACGGTGCGGCTGCTCCGGCACCTGCGGCTGATGCTGCAGCCGGCAGTGGTGCCGCTGCTCCAAAAGCCGCTCCTTCCCCGACTTCTACTTCTCCGGCTGCGGCGGAACCATCGGTTGACGCCGCCGCCGCAGCAGCAGGAAAGACCACTCCTTCCCCGAGTCCTGCGGGTGCACCGGCGCCAGCGGTTGACGCTGCGGCTGCGAACGCTACTCCTTCCCCATCAGCTGCTGCTGCTGCCACTGCGCCCTCGGCACCAGCAGCTGACGCCGCCGCCGCCGCGAAGGCCGGTCCCTCCCCGAGTCCCGCGGGTGCACCGGGGCCAGCGGTTGACGCTGCGGCTGGAAGTGGTGCTGCGGCTGCGAACGCTACTCCTTCCCCAACAGCAGCAGCTGACGCCACCGCCGCTGCCGCAGCAGCAGCGAAGGCCGGTCCCTCCCCGAGTCCCGCGGGTGCGCCAGGGCCAGCGGTTGACGCTGCGGCTGGAAGTGGTGCTGGCCCTGCGAACGCTACTCCTTCCCCAGCAGCTGCCGCTGCCGCTGCACCCTCGGCTCATGTCGCTGCTCGAGACTTCGACCACTGGGAGGCTGGTCTGGCGACACGCTCCGTCGACGATGAGTTCGACGCGTTTTGGCCGAGGAGCCTGGAGGAACTTGATTAATCGGTTCACACCTTTGAATGAAACAAGCGAGCTGTTTACAGTATCAATGAAGGATTTCGTCGTAGTAACAATTGTTGTGCATACGTTGCAGTCGTAAGAGTAGATGGAATATCATTTTATTATGCATGGGTCAATAAGCCAACAGCGAGACTCTGTACGACTTTTGGCAGATGAGATACGAATGCCGTGATATTGTGGCAATTCATCTGCTCTATGGGTAAATTCAAAAAGAAAATAAGCAAGATTGAAATTATTGGTGGATATACACCCAAGAAACGTGGAAAGGGTGCACTCCATTTCAACAAGAACGAACACCTTCAATAAAGACGTTGACGATGTCTAGATAGACGATAATTACCTGAAAGTAAGTAAACATACAAACAAGTGCATTGTTTAGTGCTCAATTCTGAAGTACATAGTAGCAACATTTCATAGACGGACGATGTCTGCTCAACGACCAGTCTCTCTGCACAGTTCCCCGGCGGTATACGCTCCAGTGCCTGCGTCGACTCTGCCTCTCTACCGCCGACTTCTCTTTCCCAGTCTTCTTCAGGCGACACTCCCACCCGCAGTTTTCTTGCACGGCACGCCCGAGCTCGACGTCGCCACGTACGAGCTCATTGCCGTCATTCTCCGTTCGCATGTCACACCGTGGTATGCGCGTCTCACAAGAGACAGGACGTTTGTCCCTCAAGTTTCTGCTGTCATAGTTCACCTATTGAAGGAGATCGAAGGCCGTGTGCTTGCGGCTGACCTTCCTTTACTCGTCTATACCACCCTACCCGCGCTGGTTGAACAACACTACGCCGATTACCGAGCTGCGCGACTACGGCATTCGCTTTCCTCCTCCAGTTCGATCAGCGACTGCTTTACCGCTCTGCAACCACATGTCGCCCTCTCTCCCAACTCGACATCGGTCAACACCGAGTATATCAGGCAGGCGATCGACCACGTTCTCAAGACGTGTCTGTTGGAAGAAGACTGGGAAGCAGAATCAGAGCGCACGATTGTGAGAGAGGTGCTTGCTGGCCCGGTGCTCGGTGGAGTGCTGCCTCGGCTTGCCCAGCCTTGGTTCCTCTTTGGGTTGCTATTGTCAGCTGTGGGCAAGGGTACGGGGCCGAAGGTGCCTGTGAGTCGCGTTCATCTGAACGTCGCATCCTCTAACCGGTACCAGGACCAGCCCGTTGCGAAACCTCCAGTTACCTCCATGCGTCAAATGCTCGTCCTGTTCATTAACACTTTACACTCCTTGACCTCAGTGTTGCACTCCGTCGTCAGCTTCCTGCAAGCCATATCTCGCTTTCTCTCTACTCTACCTGCAAACAAGGGCGCCTCTAAGCCGAGATACTACGCGTCGAGCCTGTTGCTGGTAGTTGCTGCAATACTGAACTTATCTGCTCGGCTCGTGTCGGGGCTCTTGTTGTCTTATCTGTCGATCATAGTTGCGCTCCTGCAGCCTTTACTTGATCGGTACGCATGCACGGCTTCATTGTAGTAGTCAAGCACTCACTCTGCGACAACAGTATCCTTTCACACGTCCTTTATTCCTATGTTCTAACCACGCCGAATATAATCACCATGATGAGGCGTGCGAACACTCTCCTATACCCCAATGGACAACCCGCACCACCAACGATCGAGCCTCCTGCCGACGATCAACTGCGTACACGTCAGCAACTCGAGTCGCGTCTGAGTAACTCCCTCCCAATGGCCTTATCGTCCCTCCTCTTAGGTGCAACAACGGAAGCACGCGCCCATATCGCGCATGAAATCCTCCAGCCCCTGAGCGACGCGAATTGCAACATCCACCTGGTCATACGTCTCCTGGACGCGATCTTATTATGCCTTTTCCCGGAACTCGCGGCGGACAGCCCTGTTCCAGTCCCTAATGTCCACGCCATTATCCCTGTCCCGGAAGAACTCAAGGTCGACAGCGATAGCGAGTCCAACAAGGAGGGATTCGCCACGCCTCTATCTCACTGAGCTATCCGAGGCTGTTCTGTTCTGTTCTGTTCTAATTCTTGTTTCTCGCGATACCGTGCATGATATACCCTATTCGTCGTGACGGATATCCTTTTCGTCATACGCTCCACTTGCCATATTTTCAAACCCTGTTTGGTGTCAGGTAGGAAAGTCCAACCAGTACACTGCACGATATGAAGCACTGCAATCCCTTACCGACCATGCGCTCCCGTGTCGGAATTCTGGTGGGTCGTTATTGGGTTAACGATACTGACATTGGTTCACGCTTTCGAATAGGGGCTCGACGTGCTTTGTCACCTCATCTCTTCCGTGACTCGTCGGATCAAGGCACCCTTCTGCGCATGTTGTATGGCAGCATGCACCCTGGTCTAACGATAACGTCGTCCTACCCCTGTCTAGAGGTGATGAGTGATGAATATGGGGAAAGCAATGGACATTTAAGTCACCTCCAGCGCGGGGGTTATGGTCATCCTGTGCCGACTTTATCCCTCTCCGATATCCGCCTTGGGCACTCTCACTCAGGTGTGCTGATGTTCAGGTTAGATGTTACTCGCGCTGATTTGTTTCTAGAGCTGTCTCCACAGGCACGAACATGGCGAGCACGGAAGTACTGTGCGCCAACGTGATCACGGCCGCGACTACACTCGGCGGCGGTGGTTTCCAGCCTCAAGGCCAGATCGACCTAACATCTATCGTTTACTCGCTCCTTCAATTTGGCTACGGCATCCTTGAGCGATCAGCGCAAGTCGGTATCGAGCGCCTCACCCTTGATGCTGGTTATGCTATCGGGGGCAGACTGACACTGGGTTTCGGAGCGGCCCAGCGACTCAAGCACGAGATCCGCTCTTCTCACGCGTTCTCCTGGATTTGGTCCGCCGTACACGTGTGTATGGGTACGAAACATGTGGTACGCCGGCTCGCCGAGTCCAGAGAGGGACTTTCGATCCTTCCGTTGGTCGGATGCATGTCTGAGATGTACAACATCTACATGTGTGCGGAGATCCTTGAGGGTCTGTTCGATATTCTTCGAAACCCTTGCGAGCTCATGCCGTCGAAGGATCAATGGATCAAGTTTGTGATGGTGTGTCGTCAAGCCGTCCCCTCGACCGCATTCAAGGACATGCTAGCCCGAATGCCAAAGTCTCGATTCCAACCACGTCACCATATCATTGCGACCACTGCGCATGTCAGCGCTATCTGCGAGGCGCTGGGCTACTTCCTTCGACCACATGCAGAGCAAGCCACAGTAGTTTGCTTAGCAGGTGGGGCAGACTGTGGACGCATCGCAGCTGTCTTATACTGGCTGATGGACTACTCTATCGAGATCTACGACGGAATGGACAAACCACTCATGACCCTTATCGGTGGTACAAGAGAATCGCATTGGGTGATAGCGACATACGACAAGGAGCCGCTCCTCGGTCCTGTATACTTCAAGGACTTATCCTGGACTGTATCGGACGGCTTCTGTGACGAGTTCAATGCCTGATCGTCGTCAACTCTTATACATATGGTGCCGGATGCCAGCTAGCGCGTTGTGGCGCCAAATCATGGCGGGTCTATTTATACGCGTATCACATTCGCCGCCTGCTCCTAGGGCTGACTAGCAGCAGAGCTGGTTGGTATGTTTCACGTCCGTATTCTAACGAGACTTGCCGAACTCACATTCAGTTACACTGCTAGTTTTTGTTTAGCTGTACGACGTACGTCTTTTGTAACACGCAAACCCGCGTTAGGGTATACCCTTGCATTATAATCGGTAGTTGAACAAAAATAAAATAAAATTCTTCGGAGCCACTGGTTATTGATCTTGATGTGAAGCCTGGAAAATGCAGGCATATGGCCCCCTTCATGCATGATATGATCGGAGAGATTAGATTAGATGCCAGAACATCTAGCGGATAGCATTCTTGCGACTGGCGTTGCAAATGCACCGTTTGTAATTTGAACACATCCAACGGGATGTTCACCTGCATTACATTGACACGCTACATTCTCTACAGCATCGGGCCTTGCATGAAGCAAGCTCCACAACGTATTTTCGTCACTATCCCGACTCCTCTCCACTCTATTCATACCGCCGTTGCGTGGAGAAACAACGCAACAGCGTCTTTTCCATCTTCGTTTCCATCCTTGCTCGTCATGGGACAAACATCATACTATGCACAATGCGAGCGCGAGCTCGTGGCCTGCGACTGCGGAGGAAAAAAATATACAGAAACACAACAGCCAATTGGGAAGCGGGAAACGTAAAGTATGAGAAAGAGAATATGAAAATAAGGAAGATACGTGAATGAACAAGAAAGGACCGAAATTCTCCAAGGACCCACGTCCTTGCCCGAGCAGAGAAAATCAGTTCGGCCGGAAGGGGAAGGCGCCGCTGAATCGACCAGGAAGAACAAGGTCTGCCCATTGTCCAGGCACTTTCAGAGCAAGTCTACATCTGCTCTATCATATCTAGCTCTCGATCAGCCATGCCACTGCAGGAATCCCAAGGCAGACTCACGTCCCACATCCCCCTCCTCGTCGCTCTCCTCCTTGAGTACTCTCCCCCGCTCCGGGATGAGGGAGAAGGGGGCACCTAGCGGCCCTGCGTGCGCTGCGCTGGGTTGGGGTTTGACTTGTCCCGAGCCCAGAGTTGCGGACAGACCAGGCCTCTGCCCCTCCGGACCCGTGGGCACCAATCCATAGCTGTGGGTTTTCTGCCCGTCCCGCGGAGGGGAGTCGTCCCCCACCACAGGGGTAAGCAGGCCAAAATTAGGTTTGGGCGGTACGAACCCAGTCGGTGCTTCCCAGCTGCGCCGTTTGCCTGGAGCGGGGGGGAATGGGCCAAAGTTGAGAGGGGTCATGAGGGGTCCGGAGAAGGGAGCGCCGAATTTGAGCCCGCGGGAGGGGGTGGAGGAGAAGTCGTATGCAGCTGGATTGGAGTACGAGCGAGAGTGGGAATGAGAAAGAGAATGGGAGTACGTCTGCCCGTAGACGTTGGTCGGCCCCGATCCCGATCCTGAGCCGGAATCGAGATTGGGGTTGCCTGGAGGGAACCGCCGTGTATCCGGGCTCCCTCGATCAGAGTCGTCCGACATTCTAGGGGTGTGCCAGTGTCCCACCGGGTCAGGGCGATACTGCTTCGGACCGTAGCGGAGGGGCGAAATCGGCTGCGGAGGGTAGGGCGAGCCGTAGGTATTCGAGTATACCCGTGTTTTCCTGCTTGAGAGAGGGGTGAGTACCGCATACCCCCCTGGTTCAGGAGCGACTCGCTCCCGCTCTGGGCTGGGGAGGACAAACTGCTGCTCAGAGAGCCAGGGTGTCCTCATACTCGGCGTAGGCGTGCGAGGGACGAGGATCTCTGCCCCGGCCATGCGCATCGCTGCTCGTCCGTGGATGCCCGAGTCGTCAGCAGGGGCGAAAGTAGGCTCTCGCTGGGGTCGAGTGGGAGTGACAGGCTCTTCGAACAGGATTTTCGTGCGGGTGAGTTCGGTAGGAGGAGGCGAGTGCAAGCCGCTCTTGGTGCGCTTTGCCCGGTCGCGGAGCTTGGGTTTCCCCTTTGCTTCTTGCCGTTTCTCTGCTGTCCCAGCGGCGGCTCGTGTACCCGCGCGTGTTGTTCTTCCCCCCGGGCGGGCACGGGCCTTGCCCTTCCTTACCCGAGCACAATCCGTGCAGAACCATTGTTCAGGCAGGTCTAGGGGGTCGACCCCAACGCAAGCCATATGGCTCCAGCACTCGCAAGCATCACACTGTACCATGCTAGTGCCGTCGTCCGTCCCACTCTCGCAAACGCAGTTGACGACCTCTGTCTTTTCTTCTGCGTCGAGGTCTCGGTCAGAGGCGCTCGAGAGGTTCAGAGACGACTCCCTAGCGCGGGACGAGAGCTTCAGCCGCCGGCGAGAACGTGTTGCAGCAAGAAGGGCGAGCATGGCATCTCCGGACCCAGGGATCCAGGGCCTCTGTCCCGGGGCACTGGGAAAAGGAAGCAAGACGGTCTTCCCTCTCCCTCCCCGGTCCGCACTCATAGTCCCGCTCACACCCTCCTGCTCAGGCTCATCATCCTCGCTCTCGAGAAAACGTTCCAATAGCCTGCGTCTCTCTCTCCCTCCTCTGTCCAGCGCCTCCCTCTTCGGCAGCACAGGTATCTCAGCGAGTCTGTGTACCTGGGCATCCGAAGTCCATCCCGTCTGGAGGCGCATGCGTGCTCGAAGCTCGTCCGAGTCGGACACAGGCTTAGGATAGAGTGGTACGAGTACCCTTCCCTCCCCCTGGGGGAGAGTCTTCATCCCCAATCTGCCAATACCAGGGTCGTCAACTGATGTAATATTGCGGTCAAACGCTTCCAGGCGCTTCCTTTTCCGCTCCTGCGCTTGGGCCTCCGGGGGTGAGAAGATCCCCAGACCGATAGGTTTGCTCGATGTAGGAGTAGGGGTGGAGAGTGGGGAAGAGAGGATGTTTGACCGACTCGGGGTGAGAGGGGGTAGGGAGGGGAGGGAGATCGTTTGGGACGGAGGGTCGGGGTGTTGGTCTGATGAGCGGGGTTGATGTTGTTTGGGGAATTGGAAGTTTGCTAGGTCTGGTTGTGTTTTGGGGATTGGGAGATGGAGCGGCATTGGGACTGGCATAGACAGTGCGTGATGTGGGATATGGGGTAGGAGAGCGATGGGAGTATCGATTTGCATCATCCTGTCGGTTGATGGTCGATGTTGAGGGTAAGAGGGAGAGTAAGAATGTTGTAAAGTTGAGGATATGGACGGTAAAGTAGGTAGAGTAGGTAAATAAGATAAAGAAGGGATAGTAGGTAGTCGTCGTCGAGGAGGAGGAGGAGGAGGAGGAGGAGAAGGAGAAGAAGGCATTCCCTAGTGGAAAGTGGTTGAATGTCCACTGAGTTGGTCCCTTGTTTCTTCTTCTCATTCACGGCATCAAACGGATACATTTTAAAGTTCAATAAACACCACTCCCTCATACTACGACTCGCCCTATTCACTTCTCTCACCTATGCAATCACACAAGGTTCTTTCATCTTAGGCCAGGAAATCAACGAAAACAACCCTTAATTTGACTCATTTATACAGCTGAGGCCTGGACTGATCGTGATTCGGTGACTGTGCCACGGAAACGGGAACTCCACCTTTTATACCCAGGGATGAACTTTTTCATCGGTAAGTAAACACCATAATAATCTAGTTTATTTCTATTCCAACAATAATTCATACAACACATTCCGTCCGTAAAAGTCCTCAGAACTCCTCCCCATGCCCATAAGCAGTTCTATCCCTCCCCGCTCCCTTCTCCCAACCCCCACTCCCTTTCACCCGCGCCTTCCTTCCTCCAAGCTCCTTATAAGCCTCCCGCATCTCCACTTTGCTCGGCTTATCCCTCCCTTCCGCTTCCCTCGCCCATATTTCCTCTTTCACCTCCCGGGGCGTCTGGTACCCGCTCGGTGTCGGACTGCCCCCGGCTCTCGAAGAGGGACGTGAAGACGCCCTCGAGAATGGCGCAATGAGAGGCACGTCCTCCCTCTGCTTTGCGAGCAAGGCAGCGTACTCCCGCCTCCAATTCTGCTTCGACTCCCGTTTAGTCCACGTCGGAGTCGTGCCTGTAACAAGTGGCAGGTCCTCATGCAGCGCCGCGTTCCTCCTATGCCGGAACCACACTGCCTCCCCATCAGCGCACCGAACCCGTCCCGCAGCCAACCACTCACCAAAATTTGCCGCCTGGGAATTACACCATTTCCTACACACTTGGCAGCATCTCGCGAGCTCCCTCGGCTGGAGATACATAAGCAGCCTGATAAGCAGCTCTGTGTTCAGCCGGCGGAAAGGGTCGGTTTTGCTTGTGGAGAGAAGGAGGGGGCCGGGTGCCCGCCGAGTGGAGGCGCCGAGTCTTGTCGGGCTGCCTGGGCGGCTTGCACGTGCAGGGGTAGCGGAGCCCGATACCTGAAAGTGTGTGGGGTAAGGTTCGCCCCGTAACCTTGCCTGCAAGGGGGGTACGCACAACACCAACGAGCTCTTCATCACTCTCCTCCTCCTCCTCGGGCACTTTCCTGCCGTTCGCAAGCTCTGGCGTGGCCATCTCCTGAGTCCCGGTCACGCGCGGTGGGGATGCTAACCGCAAGGCTGGTTCTTGAGGGCGGAGGACGTCGTGTAGTAAGTTAGACATGCTTTCCTTCCTTCCTATTTGATAGTAGTTATTGGCGGTATATGGGATAGGATAATGGGGACAGATGGTCAATGAAGAGGAGGAGGAGGAGGAGGAGGAGGAAGAAGAAGAGGAGGCGCAAGGGCGTCGGTGGATGGGCTCAGGGTTAGCGGGGCAATTTCGGGCGGGGGCGGAATGACGTCAGCGCCAGAAGATTATCTTCCTGTCAGAAACGTGACAGATGCAGGTAACGCAACTGTCATGGCATTGACCTCCTGCTCTCCTCTTCAAATATCACTTGGGCTGCTAGTGAGTGGAGCTAGCAGCGAAGACGGGAATGACAGAGGTAAGCCGGTATACCGTAGGACGTCAATGTACTCGATTGCTGTGCGAGGACGTATGTAGTTTCGAACATAGAGACGCACACCCTTATGTGCGATCCATGGAGTCGTGTGCGTCGATTGGGTTACAGAACTAGAACGTCTCCTGAAACCGGATTCAGAGGATCCACGGTTCTTTCAATGAGCAAGAACCATGGACAGGAGACTTTTTTTGATACCCTCCGATTCATTAGCGTCTCTATGTTAAAAGCGCAGTGCAGCGTATGCGAAAGAGCTGGGCAGTTTCCGATGCTGGACCCCGTGTTTCCGGCCTCCATGACCTGAGCTGATGTTTAATCAGATGCAGTCAATTGACGGACGGCATTCCTATTCCCTCTTTTAGGAATCTCACAACTACAACACATACTTAGTCACTTAGCAAGGGTTACTTCAGTGCAATATCAATTTTAGGGAAATGGCTGTCCGTCAGATGTAAATCGGTTGTTCAAGATACCTGAGACAGCTGCATATCCATCAAACTCATCATTCACAGAGGGGCAACCTAACCACTACGGGCGCAGACCTCCCACGCGCCGATACTGTATCTATACCACAGCCGGGATACGCCGAGGTCTATCCTGCTGTGCGCTGGGCCTCCGAATCAGCGCGTTTCGGGTTCGTCAGCGTTATTGTACCAGCACGTCTGTCATCGTTTGCTTAGCCGTCCCGGATGACTTGGACTGAGACCTTGTCATTGGCTTAGCCGTCGGTGTTGTTTTGACCTTTCGTTGGCGTTGGCGTTGGCGTGGACCTAGTATTGGGTCTAGCGAGACGGTCCTCCAGATCAACGTGATCTGAGTCCTCAAAGCTTCGGGAGGTGAGAGCGAAAGCGGAAGGTGTGGGTGCGGGCGGAGAAGTTGGAGAAGGAACGGCCGCTGGAGCAGCAGAACTACTGCCAGCCGCACTGTCGGATGCTGGCGCAGGGGGAGCGGCGACAGAATCGGCAAACACAGCGTTCACCACAAGACCACTTTGAGCATCGTCGTCAAATTTAGAAGGCGGTAAGGCTTTCGGTGCTGGGGATGCCGCCGGTACTTCTTCAGTCGGAGTAGGTTCTAAAAGGTAGTGCTTGTACTTGAGCTGGCGTTCAACACGCGGGAGGGTGCCCTTGTGATGACGGTGACGATGGCCGTGATGACCACGGTATTCTTCCGATTTCAGCTCCCCGATTTCGCCCAGCTCGGGTGCTATCTTCTCCGCCTCATCCAGCTCGCCGAAATGTACTCCTCTGGGGAAGGAATCTTGCATTGCCTCCTCGCCGAACCTCGCACCCTGCCTGAACATGCGCCTCTTGTCGGCTGCGGAAGACGGGTTCAGTGCTGTTCTTGACGGGCCCTTCCCAAGGTCGACCACGCATCCAGTCTCGGCAGGCACGCTACGATGCTCGAATGTTATGGCATTGACAGGGTCACCGCTTGGGTTGTTGCTGAGCGAGTTGGCAGCAATGCTAGCGGCGAGGGCGGCGAGGGTAGCGAAGGGGGTGATTTGCATATTGGGGTGGAACGCGAACGTTGAAAATTCAAGATTTGTACAGTTGTGTAAGGTAGTGAGTCGTAAGAAATCGTGAGTTCCTGGCCAGCAGGTAGTGAGCAGAGAGGGATGGCGTGGAAAGGGACAATCGGTGAACCGGCACCTGCGCTTGGATGGGTGGGGATTGATTGCAGCGTCAGATTGGCGTTCTTATATGTGCTTGATGGAGTAACTTCGAGGCGATCATCCATCGGGTCGCTTTGAATTACGCCTGGTAAGAACCGTGACTAAATCAATGGACGCTGACCGCTGTTTTGTCGTATCCTATGAAGCCTGTGCATATGCAGACGTTAGGCAATCCAGAAAGGACAGAATCCCAGTCTGGCTCAATGCAGAGACCCTCAAATAGGAAGAGTTTCGGCCCATTCAGTCGAGTTATCGGTCGGAGAGGCTCCGTGACAACCCTGGATGAATGCAGTTTACCCGAGAAAGCAATGCGTGCCAGTTGCCTCAATACATTCGATGGTATCCTAAGTACTGTACCGGTTTTGGTGAGGCGATCCTGAGGCTATCCAAATAGCACGTGGATGGGGGAACTTGAGAGGATCGCGCCGTTTTTCGATTTTTCAGCTTGGTATTGCAGCTTTAGATCCGATGTGTGAGTATCATTCAGATTACAATGGCAGGGCTCCCATATATGCGCCATCGGAGGTCTCGGTGATCGATGCTCCTCACAGTTTCCCCAGTGTACAATCTCGTGTGAAACGTTGATCGAATGCAGTCTCGAAACATCTCGACTCTGTGTGCATACTTGGAGTTGCAAGCACAGACTTGGGCCAGGGGAGGCGACCACCGCCGTAAGCTGCTTGTCGCATTGTGGCGTATACCAGCGGTGCGTGCGCTGCACGGCCCCTTTGCTTTTCGCGAGCTTCGACTTCGACTTCCTTGTCACCGAAGGAGGGAGGAGGGAGGGCGTCGGCAACGTGGATTACGAGCATTCCTATCCCACGACATGGGTTCTCTCCTACGCACAAGCAATAAACCCTCTGTGTTCAACCTGGGCGACATAGGGAGGAGAGAACTGCCGGTACTGCTTCTGGTTGAGGTCGGTCATCTCGAGGTACCAGGGGGTACCCGCATTTGGCGTGTGTCGAGGCTATTGGTGGCACTGCCGGTAGGTCAATATTATAAATGACAAAGTGCTCCATGCGTTGAAACACCTCACTCACGGGCATGCTCAGTCCCTTCTCGGTCCTCTCCTCGAGAACAACCGTTTCAGCCAAGGCAGCACTCTACTCGGTTTGAGGATCGCAAGCATCTCCATGTGCCATCCAGTCTTCCTCTATCTACCAACAACTTGATAACATCGACCGCCAGATGAGATATTCGGGATTAACCATCGGCGAGCGGAGCAGAAGGGGACATGCGGCTGCAGAGCGTGAAAACACTCTGCCATGACAGCTATGAGATCGAATATCGCGACGTCGTGTTCGAGCGTGTGAATGATCGGCGCTGGTGGAGGTTGGGGAGAGAAATCAGCGGTAAAGTGGAAGAGTGGACATGCGCCAAGACGTGGAGACTGTGCTGTTTACCACACAAACTTGCTCCTTGATGGCTTGAGTGTTACGTGGGTTCTTCTAGAAAGTTTGCCTACTGCTGGATTCACGTTGTCTACAGTCTTTGCGTGATATTTGGAATGTGATCCCCACTGCTGTTTGCTGGGGTTGAAATATCTGACATTGTGCTAGGCGTGACTCTGTCCCAAATACAAATGCACGTAAGCTGTATATATGTATTTGACATGCATACAATATGAGGGATGATTTGGCTTGCTCACAGCTTCAACAGGCATTCCCAAGCCAACTAAAGTGCTTGCAACGAACTGCCCTTGTCATTTCGTTATTTTTTCTTTGCGATTTTCGAGCTCAAACTTGTTGTCGCCAGCGCGCGAGGCCTGATCGCCTCATCGGCCAACCCAACTCGAGGGGGAATGTGAACCCAATATCGCTGTGTCGTTTGGGTCGCTCAACGATGGTCTTGCTCTAGGGCTCCATATGCGCACAGGTTTGCAAGTATTCATTACAGTAAGCTGGCGCCAACGTGCTGGGTTTCGGCGATGGGCTGGTCAGCAGTGTCGCGACGAATGAAGCAACTGGTATGCATTGCCAGTACTTACAAATAGCGTCAGTTCAAAGCCGTGGTCAAGTGTTACTGAATAGAGGTAACGCACCGAAACCGGTTTGCCGCATGAACGTGATCGATAATTTTGCACCTGGTTCGATCTAGCATCGTATTGCCTCCCATGAATCACTTTACTCACAAGTGCGCTCAGTCCTCTGTCCTTCCTTGTAATCGACAACACCAAGCCGAACAAGGACCAAGTATCGCCCCACAGCGGCACACACCTCCCTATTGATCATCTGCTCTCATTCTGCCTCCCCGCCTTCCTTCAATAGTCAAGGCTTAATCGAGTGCTAGATCACCCGAAGCATCGACCTGGAGGAAGAGGCGAAGTGCGGCTGGGACGTGGAAAGGTCCTGCCACGACGACGCCAAGTGCTCCTATGTTGGGACGTCGTATGTGGACGACGAGCGCAGATGGTGACAAGTGACGGAAGCGGTAAAGGGAAAGAGCAGACACAGACGTTGCCGAATATGCGATTTGAGAAATGTGTACAGAGAGTGGGCGTTGAGCAGACGTGAGAGAGATCACTGGTTAGGAGAGTAATTTCCTCCGACACTTTTGCGGAGGCAGAGTCCCTAAAATGGACTGCCGGGCCCTATTTCCTTAAAGTCGGCCATGTGCATACCCTAAGCAACACCCTAGGGTCCAATTAAGGAAGGTGGTAAGACACTGCCAGATATCAAAAGTATCCTCAAATCAGGAGCCTGATAAAAGCGAGAAGCAGCAAGGAGAGCACAAAAGCTTGAATTGTGCTTGACAGTAGGGCCAATGTATCAAATCAGCCCAAAATGCCTTTAGTCACAAGAGAGGTGCAGTGGAGTCACAAACAGTCCAAGGGGGTCAAAGTCTAGGTTTGAACACCAATCAGAGAGTTGAAGAGGTTTGGTGAGAGTTCAATCTAGGTTTGTCACTATCTGACAGTGGAATTCCTGAGAGATCAGCTATAAGGGGCATAAGGCTCCTAGAGCTGGTATATATACATGTCAGAAAAAGGAAGTATAAGGAATAAAAAAGGTAGCTGTGGGGCTGTACAGTTTACCATTGTTTAGGATGGTGCTTTGAAGTAGTCAAGTGATTTTGCTTCAGGGTTGATGGATTCAGGTGTGAGGGCACTAGGTCTAGCAAGGTTGCCACACACTAATCCCAAACAATAGAGGAAGTGCTGGGGGGTCTACTGTGGTTGAAAGTGGCTCTAACCAGCAGTACTAGTCAATATCCAAGTCACCAGGGCTAGCTGGATTGTTGGGGGGGTCCAAGGGGGTCACTGGGGGGTCCTGGGGGGTTGTTAGGGCAACACAGGCTGACTAAGTCTGCTCACCTAAGAGTGCCAAGAGTCTAAGCAGGCAACAAGGAAGTGGAGTAGACCTGATGACTAAGACCTATCTACAGTATAGGTACCGGTGGATGATCCTAAGAGACCAAGTCTGAAGAGACAGTCCCAGGCAGAGTAGGCCTTATATTTATACCTCTGTGGTGGAACCTGCTAGAACATCTTGCTTACTCAGCCTAGTCAGGTGATCAGGTCATATGACCAAGGATGAAGGTCATAT